AATGTGGACAGGCAGAGAAAGGCCTGCAGAGGCCCCCCCCCGTGCCTTTCTCCGCCTACCCACCAATGCGGATAGGCAGGGAAAGGCCTGCAGACCCCCCCTCGCGCGCGCCTTTCTCCACCCGCCCCCTGCCCCGGATGGGCAAGGAAAGGCCTGCAGAGCCCCCCCCCCCGCCTTTCTCCCGCCTCGTGTGTGTGTGTCTCTGTCCCATGTGTGTTTGTGTGTGTGTCTCTGCCCCTCTCTGTGTGTCTCTCTCTCTGCCCCTCTGTGTGTTTGTGTGTGTCTCTCTCTGCCCCTCTGTGTGTTTGTGTGTGTGTCTCTGCCGCTCTGCGTGTCTCTCTCTCTGCCCCTCTGTGTGTTTGTGTGTGTGTGTCTGCCCCTCTGTGTGTGTCTCTCTCTGCCAGGAGCAAGCTCAGTTGAGTGGACGCAGTGACACCAGGTGTACCACAAAGATCATTGTGCTTGGACCCAGCAAGCGGCACCAAGATTCCAGGTCTGAACCAAACAATCCTCGCTGCACTGCCAGAATCCCTGGGCTCAGGTTTGTTTGCTTCTGGGCATCAGTGCCTCTGGGCATCAGTGGCCCTTGAGAGTAGCCAACCCCCTTGGAAATTGTCCTGGTAGTTTAAAGGGTCTTTTAACCCATTTCTCTCCCTTCTGAACAGCAGCAGAATTTACCTTCTGTCTGGAATTCTCTCCCAAGTCTGGTATTAGACACTTCTAGACATTGAGTTAAAGCAGTATAGCAAACCTTCCAATGTAATAATAATAACTCACTTCCCCCTCCCCACAAGTGAGGATCCAAAGCAGCTTACAAAAAAACAAAACAAAAACAATTTAAACAAACAAAATACAGTATAGAAGAACAAGCAAAAAAACCCAAAAGGTATACGAAGATGACTCCCCCCTTTTTGTTTCCCCTTCTGACACACTTCTGGTGATGTCAGGGGGTATGGCATATGCTAATGAGTTATGCTAATGAGCTTCTACACCTCTTTTTCTACGAAATGACCCCTGCTTAAACATATAATACAAATGTCCTGTTGTTTTTTGCAACTTGTTCTTCCTTAAAGCATCCGCATTGTTCCATCAACCCTAAGAGCAACCATTTGCTTTCTTCTCCTACACACCTTTTCTGCCTGTTCAACTGAATTGTGGTTGGGTAAATGTGTGGTTTCATCTGTCATTGCCTAGCTAGTAGGGATGGGCACTAGCCAGTTCATGAGTGAAAATTTTGGCCAAATTTTGGGCGGATTGGGACTCAGAACATGATGTTCGACACTCATGTGGTCTCCGAAGAAATCACCAAGCTTTTGGGCACGGTATCTCAGGAAAAATGTGCTGTGGGTTCCCTTCCTTTGTTCCCATTTTATTTCACGACATCACTTTGCAGTTTAAGCCTTCTTGGAGAGGGAGAGGAGCTTTAGTGATGAAGTTGAATGAAGTGTTTTGCTGGGCATGGGGGGGGGGATTCATTGTATTCATTTAATGGGCTTTGCTTTGACCTGAATTCTTTGGCCATTCATCCTTTTTTGTTTGTTTGCTATGAAAGGGGGAGGGAATAGGGATTGTTGTTTTCTCATTTTCCTGCTGTGGGTTCCATTCCTTTCTTCCCATTTTATTTCACATCATCACTTTTCAGTTTGAGAGGGAGAGGGACACTGCACTTTAGTTACAAAGTTGAAGAGCTTTGCTTGGCGTGGGGGTGAGATTCAGGGGGCTTGGCTTTGCCCTAGGTTCCTTGGCCATTTTTGTTTGTTTGTTTGTTTGCTGTGAAGAGGGGGGGATAGGAATTGTTCTCTCAGTTCATATGGGCTTTTGTTCAGGGTTTTTTTCCTGCTCTGCTCTGCTTTCCTTGGTGGTCTGATCTCCCTTTTTTCCATTTAATTTCACACTCCTGCTTTGGGTAGCAGTTAAGCCTTGAGGGATTGCTCCTTTCTTTTCAGGCTTGGGGGGCGGGACTTCCCTGTCATTTTTTCACCCACACAAACTGGGGTGCTTTTCCTTTGGGTGATCTCTTCCTGTATGCCTGGTTTCCTACATACCCCCTGCCTTGGGGGAATCATTCTAGTCTTGGGAAGGTGTTGACTTTACTGCCCAGCTGTTTTGCCAGTTTCCACCCCCACACACAGTGAGCTGCTTCTCCTTTTGGGGTTTCTATGCTTTCCTACACACACCCTGCCTTGGGGGAATAGTTTGGAGAAGGGTGACTTTACTGCCTGGCTGTCCACACTGATTTGCACCCACCCTGCTTCTCCTTTTGGGGTCTGCCTGTCTGCTTTCCTACATACACCCTGCCTTGGGGAAATCATTCCAGTCTTCTCCTTGTGGGACAACACCCGCCTCACAAACCAACATCTACTTATGTTGGATGTGTTTTTCTACATCATGTTCAGGCAATTTAGGGGACTTCCAGTGATCCCAGACTCTGGAAACAGCCTGCATAAATCACCCCATGTTACCTGTGCCTGGTGGATAGATGCTTCCTGTGAATGGAATGTTTGCGGCTGGTTATGGTCGCTGAGACAGCCAGTGATGTTAACATAAGAACATAAAAGAAACCAATGTTGGATCAGACCAATGGCCCATCCAGCCCAACACTCCATCACACAGTGACAAAAAATACCAGGTGCCATCAGGAGGTCCACCAGTGGGGCCAGGACACTAGAAGCCTTCCCACTGTCCACCCCCCAAGCACCAAGAATACAGAGCATCACTTGCCCCAGCCTGAGAGTTCCTATCTATACCTTGTGACTAATAGCCACTGATGGACCTCTGCTCCTAATGTTTATCCAATTCCCTCTTTATGCCGTCCATGCTTGTAACCACCACCACCTCCTGTGGCAGTGAATTCCATGTGTTAATCACGGTATGGGTGAAGAAGTACTTCCTTTTATCAGTTCTAGCTCGACTGCTCAGCAATTTCATTGAGTGCCCAGGAGTTCTTGTATTGTGAGATGCATAATCTTGTACATCTCTGTCATGTCACCCCTCAGTAGTTGTTTCTTCATGCTAAAGAGCCCCAGGCATTTTAACCTTTCTTCATAGGGAAAGTGTCCCAACCCTTTGATCATTCTAGTTGCCCTTTTCTGCACTTTTTCCAATGCTATAATATCCTTTCTGAGGTGTGGTGATCAGAGTTCTAGGGGGGAAAGCCCACAGGGAAAAAAAAACCACGGTCATAAATGCTCACAGGAAAAAAGCCCACATGGAAAAAAGCCCATATACATAGAAGCCCTCACAGGGAAAAGCC